TTATGTTTAAGCACATTAAACAATTTTTCAAATGCCACGCGAACGGGTAGACGCAAGCTACTAGCAAACAGTCATCAGCCGGTTATCAGAACATGGGTAAGTTGGCTTTGATGCGGAGGGATGCGGAGGGAAAGCGAAGATAAATTTTTGCATACTTTCGAAAACGAATGTTTAAATGTAGGTATTGTATATATTAATAATTTCTAAGGCGGTAAGAGGACACTACACTAAGTTTGGTATACTAGTTTGGTTGATTGGCTCTAGTTTCAGGAAATATCGCCGCATTTTATATATGCCCCTCGCAACAGAATGCGCCCAGTCAATGGGAAACATGGTATATAACTCATACGCCTCAGATTTCCATGTAAATGGAAAAGTAGAAATCTTGGTTTGCAGATACAAGGAAATATTTCTTAGCATGTTTGCGCTGTCACATTAATTCTGCTCCATTTGTGTTGATATATTCGAGTGAAACGTTTGTTTCGCTCCGGCTGTGGATAAAACAAACGGGGTCGGAATGTCAGTTATGGATGACAACGAATTAGATATAGTATCACAGCGGCAGCGAAGCAAACAATAGCTACAGCACCGAAATAAATTGATATTGTTTATAAACATTGTAAATGATTTATGCGCGTTATATGCGTAAAATAAAATCTCAACATTTACAAGTAACCGAAGGACAAAACAATGAATCAGAAAGACGATGGTCTTGAAATGAAAATCTAATCTGAATGGCAATCAATAATAAAGTTACCATAGCTTTGAAGTTACCCAAAGAAAGGAAGAAAGAAAAGTATTTTCAGGTTGCTTCCTAGATTTATTTAAGTTTTCCAAAAAACAATTCAAATTATTGATCAAACAACATAATTCATGTTTCCAACAGCGTTTGTCGTAATTATTTTAAATGTGAGCATGCATCGTATCAAAACACAATTGAAACTATCGTCATGTCCAATTGTTTTTCTTTGTTGTTAAAAAGCTATCAAAATATTAGCATGCCTACCCTCTACCAACTGCATTGCAATTACCAACGAACATGCGATATACAAGTTCATAAAGCGAGAAACTGGATATGAAAATGTGTTGTAAACATCTATCAATCAACATAAATCGATTTACATACAAACTTTACTGATTTTGGCGATATCTGATATTTACTTTAATAGTGCCTGTTTCAAGGGATCTATATGCTGCGGAGCCCGTTCACCCTCAATAAAAGACCACACGTCATTATAAGATGTTTGCATATTTATTACGCGTTTATAAATGTAAAATGAAAATATATCAGTGTTGCTGGTTCTTGCCAATTTTAATGTTTTCGTAATCTACGTGTTATTTTAAAGATTTGATTTATTACTCCTCAGAAATATATACTTTTACACAAAGTAACATAAGAATATATTTTATTTACTAATAATACCCCCGACAGCCCATATTACTGTTCAACCTATTGTAACTGTCGTTTTTAACGAAAATTTTACTTAAAAATTAAGTATAATTTTGAACGATGTTCTGTTAAAATTTAGGACACGAATGATTAAACCATGTAGTTTTATAATTTATCTTATTTTTCATTTTGTAAATCATTGGCATTGGGGATTTTCTACCGAAGATATTGAACCTTTTTGGTATTAACATGGGTATATACCAATACCGATTTCGTTTTTATCACGATAGACGCTTTTCAAACCGACCCCTCATAACATTTAATGAAAATTGTAAAATTATTGTATTAATTGATTTATGCATTAAATATAAATCTTTAAATCTGACTGATATGTGGCAACGCATAAATCAATATTTTGTCATGAATGAATTGCTTCGAATTGAAAATATGTTCATTTGTCCGCAAACAAGTATGAACGTTTGTATGTATGTCAGAATAGGGAAAAGTTTTAGCAGATTAATTTTATGTTGTCGTTATGTGAGTTCTTTGTTTCGTTATTGTTCATTTTTATTAAGAACAGCTTTAAAAGGCATAAATACTTCATTCATTTATGATGATGATTTTTTAGATATTACTAGGTCTCGGTAACAGCAACAACCACAATGTTAACAACAATCGCCATGGCAGCGGCAGCAGTAGCAGTAGCAACAATAATAATTCCAACAAAATTAAATAACGAAACAGCAACAACAACGAATGTAAACGCACAAACTGAGAATAAAATCCGGGAAAACGAAAAAGTTTGCATTTTGTTTGCCTGGCATAGGGGCTAACATTGCCCCCCACTGCAAATGAATTGAATGAATGAATCCCATACAACAATTTTGTCGCAGCATGCCGCATCGCAAGTACAATACTAAGAGCACACCATGTCCTGACCTCCACCCGGTTACCCATCTATACGGCACCAAAGCAATGTAGCAACAGTAACAACAGCCAGACAAATACGCACACCCATGCACACATAGCGTTATTTAATGGTGGTAGTAAAAATAAAATAAAAAGAAAGTATGTTGATCCAGTGTTTAGTAATACTCACACGCACACACACACACACTTACTTGCATACACACATACAGACAAGCTATACTAAGCGCAGGAGGGATAAAGTAACAAATTACGCCTCATTGTGAGTCGTAAATACACCATATACACAAAGACCTTTTAAGCTCTTATACACGCACACAACTGTGTTCGATGAGCAACAGTAACCGAGAAACGGGATGCTATGTTCAGTAGAGCAGAGGTGGTGAGGTGTGTGTATTTTTTTATTTTATTCCGGAACTTTAACGCATAACAATTAAATCTAATGCGAATATATTCTAGCTGTTTAGCTGATTTAGTATATTTCAGTTGAAACTACTATTATACAACAAGGTGAATTTCTATTTAAGAAATGGGAGGAGGTGGTATCCTCCCCCAATTTTGATTTTAGAAAACCGATTCTTATTTTTATTGAATCAAGCGAAACTTTAAAAAATTCGACAGCGACCTGCCAACACTTTTTTCTCAACACTATATTGTTCCAAAGATCAGCGATCATTCCCGCCGACGAATCGAAGGCCTTGTCTTTAATTACAAAAAAACATTTTTTTAATTTATTCTTCGTCTTAAAATCTTCTAATTTACAAGATGTTTTTAAATACAATTTTATAATCTGCAATGTATACAAGAAGAGGTATAGTTCAGTTTTTAGCTGAAATAAAGGAATGTTGAAAATATTTTGCACGAAAATATGATGGCATTATTTTTTCGAACACAAAAAATGTTTTTTTCTGCATATCTTGTTTTGTTGTTGCTGTGTGATTTTGGAATCATTTGATCCTTCCATGTAAATAAAATCTTGAATATAATTAAAATAAAGATGTAAACTCATATGTCTATATATTATATACATCCAATATTTTCACGATACTACTTACTACACAGAGAATACTTTTTTATTTCAGGATGTTAATACGTTGTTAAATATAGTTATTTTACAAAGTCCATAAAACAACAGAATTCCTAAATTTAAAGTCTGCAATATTTGTTGGTATCGTCGACTTCCCAGCATCCGATCTGTTAAGACAAAGTTTTGTGCAAGAACACTATCCGTTTAATTTGCACATGGAAATGCACACCAACAGCTATATACATTTAAAAACGAAAAAAAGAGAAATGGGGTTTGATTTTATTTTCACCATTTACTATTTCCGTCAAAATATAAAGTTTTCGTTTTTTTCAATTTTATTTTTGATGCTGACACAAGTGTGTTTGTTTGTAAGCATAATTCACTCGTCCACAAAGTTCAAAAACCCCCAGTCGTTACGTATTCTCTTTTTCGAATGACATGGCCTGCAAACAAATGCCTCTTGTTCTGTGCCGGAAAAGGGAATGCACTGCGTCTCCTCACACTCCAGTAAATAATGAAATGTATTGGCTTTAGCTCTTTTGTGGCAAACAAAAACAACAAGAACACCAGAACAAACTAAAACAACAGAAAACAGAACGACCACACTTTTCACATCCCCAACAAATGTGTCTGTAAATTTGAAAACTGCGAATGCCACACAAAAAACACCTCCACATTTAATTTGCGAGTATAAACGGATATTAAATTTTGCAAATTTTATTCCCGTTCGTTTCTTTTTTGCAAAAAAAAAGTTTTTTTTTATTATTGGCACCACAACAATTCATATTGTGATCCAGTGGAAAAAAGAACAGAAAAAATAGAAACATCGACAACTGCAATAGCTTTCAAATAATGCAAATTCAAGGTTTAAATGAAAATTTTAATATATGCGGTTTTTCATAGCCGGAGAAGCCAAATAAAAAATAAAATTAATAAAAACAATTAGGACATCGCACAAATGAATGTGAATAAACCCATAAAATAGTACACTTTTCTGTGTTATATTTTCATGTACTCGATAGCGCTTACCTCCCAATGGTGAGTTCTAGGGCGGCCGTAATTCACTTCCAGCAGCGAGAACATTTCTGCATCGATGCACTACCAATATTGCCGTGTTAATATTTAAACAAATAAGAAAATATTGTTGTTGAACGAAGAAGAAATATATATATATATATATAGTAGAATCACTTTCATGTGTAGATGTGTATATAAACCAATAAAAATGTCGCTTTTATATAATATTTTATATTTTACCAAGTAAAGCTAAATTATTTGTATTTAAATTAGAAGCTCCGTTGCGTATACGTATTACATTCGATCAATCATTCGACACCACCACCGTTTCATAGCATATTTTTACAAATTTTAACATAAATCTGAATAACATATAACATTGTATTTTGCAATATATCATTGTATCAGAACAAATGTTCTTCGTTTTGCGGAATCCAACTTCCCTCCACAAATATAATACCATTTTTAAACATCAACGCAGGTCATTGTGTGCCTCTTTCAGAATAATATCCACACATTTTACTAATCCATTTTTCATTGAATGGTGGAAATAATCGCTTAGGAGCTTTAATCTATCGACATTGATATTGATTAATGTGATTGTGTTAGTTTTGAAGTTGTATTCGTTTTTATTGCCATGTAAATGGTTGTTTATAAGATATTAATTGTTTGTCTTGTTTCTTTTTCAGATACTAATGTTAAACACATTTCAACAAATTAATCATCAAGTAAGTATCAAGATAATCTGCGAAATCATCAACAATATTCAAATTAAACAACGTACAATATAAGATTTAAGAAAACAACTTGTGAAAATACGAACATTTAGAACAGGAACCTATTTTTCCATGTTATTTTTCTTGATATGGAACATGAAAATTAATATTTAGAAATTTAAATTAAATTTTAGAAACGTATAATGATTATGTTGATTCAAGTTCACCTTTACAATATACAACAATTTGCATTTTTCTAACAGGTAGCTTACTTTTTTACCGAATGTCTAATAAAAATATTAATAGACTTTGGAAGCTACATCTTCATACGGAAATTACATGGGAATTGTTAAAAATGATTTCTGCCCAGTATTTCACATATTCATGTGGTTGTCAACGAGAGAGAATGTTATTGTTTTATGTTCGGACTTCAAACTAGAAAATGATAGTGATATTTTTGCATCGTCGGAAGGATATTTATTGGAACGGAATTAATATAAAAAAATAATTAAATATCAGTATTAATATTTGAATAATCTGTTAATATTGCATACTCTGCATTAATAATATCAAAAATTGTAGTATGTGGGTACGAAGCCAATCAAATCTCTAGCTTCAATTTTTCCATGAAACATTCATTTGGACATTTATTAAAAAATTTTCACTCACACATTTAATAGATTTGTTATATATTAAAGCGGCTTAAACTCAGGCCGATTTTTATAAACCTACTGATTCAGCCTTACTATATATGATTTACAGTGAAGAGTCATTGCGAATTTGCCTCTACAACTACTAACCAATAATTTTAATTATAGGCACTCTGCTAGTCTATAGTAAAGTGAAATGTGACAGTAATGAAGGACAACCACGACGGTCATAGAAACATTTCTACAACGAACACTGATTCAAGTTTAATTTGAAAATAGCCATTTACTTGGCGACAATGCTACATACATTTGCATGCACATGCAGAACACTGACACATCTACCAGGACTCACAGTCATTTGGAAAGTCACTTCATTTATCGATGGTCTTGGGTAAACAGAACATCGATGTCGTTCCTTTCGTTTTTCTCTCTGAGCAAATAAAAATAAACTGGTTGAGTAAAATTGGTTGAGTATATCCAAAAAGAATCTGAAATAACAAACATTCAACTCTCTTTATTCATGCAATGCTTTCGTTGCAGTTCATGCATGTGTGAGTGTGTGCAAGACTAAACGTCAATTAAAACTGTTGGAACAGATATAAACAACTGCCAACTGGTCTCAATGAACAATCTGTGGCCCACACGCACGAATGTTCAAACATAGATATGTATATGCTTATATTAGTGTGTGTGGGTATATGTATAAACTTTTTGTATATTCTATATGAACAGTGGGACATGTATAAAGTAACCACATTCAATCCACACAAAAAGTAGAATTTTTATCAATATCATTTAAAAGATATAATTCTATAACGAAGTTTATTTCGGGGGTATGAATTATAAGTTTTCATTTTCAGAACATTGTGTAATTTTCTATCGGAAGCAGAAGAAATGGATATAGCTCAATAAAATCTATATCCACATGAATTCATTATAGCCATGTACCACACAAATGACACGCCATATATGTATATATATATATATATATATATCTAAGCAAACAAATTTACTCTCTCCCACTCTGTGTATGCCGGGAAAACAAGTAGACATGATACTGCAGTTTATGCAAAAACAAAACTGAAAAGCGAAGCACACCCACTCGATTTTAAAAACTTATTTCACAAAGGGAATGAGTATTTGCTTAAATCAGGCTACACATACACAGATGGGAGAGAAATGAAATATTTGAATATTTGTATTTGTTAAAGTAATGAATAATTGTCAATATTCCTGTTGTTGTTAAAGTTATTGGTGTCATTGATGTCAAAAAAATCTGTGAAAGGCATAGTATTACGCATTAAGTATGCAGATATTTAATAATGTAACACATATGATGGTATTGAGATCAATAAATGATTCCATTCCATTGATTTAAACTGTCGATCATGCCAAAAGATACCAACACCCATATACAATGAACATAAGCATGAATTTTGAAAATACATTTCAAAATCGTCATTTGTGTACTTCTCACATGAATGAATTGTATTAAGTGTGCACGGTTCAATAACACCATCCGTACTTTCTTTTCTAATTAAAAATTAAATACAGGTTGAGAATTGTGTTTTGGACAATATAAAAATAAATGCTTTGGTCTGATTTATAAGATTTATAATTTATTGCAAGTCAAAATAGTACGATCGGTATACTAAATGGTGGGTCTAGGACCAGTATTTCGTGGAGTTACAAACTCTCGGGCCACACAAACTTATAATATCCTATCAATTATACACTCATAAAAATAATTTTTTAGGTAAAAAATTAATTATAAATTAAATTTGGAATTTTTTGAAACAAAATCTATATATTCGATTTGACATAATTCCAAAGAAGAAATTCTCGGTCTACTCTCAATTTAGTAACTAACGTATCATATGTATGAATGTATATATAAACATACTCGGTTGTATGTACAAAATGTTCGTAATGTTCTTTTTGTTTTGCTTCTGTTGAAACTTTATTTTGCTTTCATAGGCAACGAAACGCCTGAAATAATAGACCCGAGTTTGTACGCCTAAAATTGTTTTTCATCGCAACAAAGCCACGCACTCACATACACACATGAATAGAACAAAACGCTTGGGTAAACCAAATGGTAACGGCCGATTTGCAGGAACATGCAAACGAATGTAATCTAGTAAAATATTGTAAATCTGCCACATTTGCTGAAGCTCGAGAACACAAATGGCAAATAACGAAACCCGAATTCCAAAAATTTGCCCACAACGACAACAACAGCCCAAAACACAAACAGGACCAGCAAACACCCGTAGCCATAGATGCAAGATGACACTTTGTATGCACGCCTCGCACACACATGAATTGTGTAAGGGATGTGTTTCGGTATTGTTTGCCAGTCATGTGAATGGTAATATGCATTGTGCATCATGATGCACAGCTCTCGAATAGTGTTTGCTGTCCATACACCAGATCCGTATTTTCAAATGTGCGAGGTTGTCCCGAGATAAGCAAAGCCGAGTGCAATAAACAATTCTGGGGCCTCTTTAACACTACTTATTTTCTTCACTGTTGTTTAAAACGGGAACAGCAATTGGTTTATACCGACTCTAGAGGACGTAGTTAAAAGGCCCACTAAAATGCTGGCATGCTCCTCCCTGCACTCTCAATTCAATCACTGTAGTGAATTTCGAACGGAGGTGCTGCGAACTTTAGATTCATTCGACATACATTTTTCAAATGAAAATCAAAAAGAGCACCAGGCGGGGGAAACAACACAATTCCATTTACAATATTTACTTGTTCCCAGTTCTGTTGGGTTTAACTTAACTGCCGCAACTCCAAAATTCGGTCGACAAAATTTGTTGATTTGTTACGTTTTGTGATTTTACAGCATACCTCGATTGGAATTTCGTTCGTGGTGTTCATTGTGGCAAATCATTTAAATCATCGTTCAGAGGCCTTTCCTAGACCCTCGTCCATTCGGAACAATACCAAATCCCCCTTTGTCATGGCAAAGCAATGCAAAAGCATCTGATCCGGAAACTGAAATCACTTCAATATGTTCGGATGCAACGTTGCATGCCCCATCGTACCTACTCCCTTATTCCAATTGGCAATTGCATGCAATCCATTTGATTTGTTTGCGCAGAAAATAAATGTCTTCTTTTATTTGCATTTCACTAAAACGAATTTTAAACGAAAATGAAAATCTAGCCACAGATGGCACCAGCAGTTTCGTTTGTGTTTTCTCTGTGTTTGCCAAGGTGTTGCTGCAATCTAAATATTATCCCATTGATATGCTGCCAACGAAGCGATGACAAACGAAAGAAGGAAGGAAGTAAGTATTTTTATTTGGTAATTTGCATATTAAACAATAAATATTTGATTGAGCTTCTGGTTTGCATTGTTCGTTCAGACGTGCAGCATCACTTCTACGGCAAATTCTTGCCAGAGAGAAACCCCAAAAACACAAAGTTGAGGTTTTCTAGAATACAATGTTTGATTCGCATACATACAAACACCTGTATATGTTGAATTGAATGTACTACTCACAGCTACACACACCTAGTTTGGAAATTGATTAAAAGGAAAATAACTTCGATGCATTTATAAAACCCGAAATGTCCTCCCTATGGATCTGCATGTGAGCAAAGAACATTGAAGATTTTAACCACTACAAAATAACGAGATTTAACACATAGATGATTAAATATTAAACAACCACGTACTGAAAAATAATAATTATTGCAGAACAATTCCGATCAATGGATGCAATTATAAATATCACATCGTGTACATTAAATACAAAGTGGAATGTGTAGGGCAAAATTAAATACACAGCACAGACTTCCTTAAAAATTTGGCGAGTTTCAACTCTGATCTCTGATTTGATTATAAAAACCATACCCTGGGTAGATTTCGGTGCATAGACGGTATGCAGCTATCATTTCTGATTCTATATACTGTATGCATGACAAAGGTGACACTTTGACCCACAATCCCAATATCATTATAAATGCTTTTAATACTCACAACAGCAGTAATGTCTTCACAAAGGAAAACGGCTGCAAGAAAAAAAACTCCGCCCTTATAATATCTAATAGATACCATTACTCTGACGACAGCAGCAAAAAACGTCGTGTTTGTGTCAACATACCCATCCATCTATCTATCTATCTATCCATCAGTGTGTACCTGATGATGCAGTCAACGGAAACTTAAACTTGCCTCAGGTTGTTGAAATTCCGTAACAAAATGTACGTCAACACAAATGTTGTGATAAGCGGCATGTCATTAAGAGGAGAAGAACGGTACTGTACTGAGAATGTTTTGTGGGACAGCATCTGAAGCTGAACTCCTTGATAGACATGCCACGAAGGAACATTCTGCAAAGAATAC